CTTTAATTTCTTTTGTTTTTTTTTTTAATACTTTGAAATAAATATAAATTTTTTAAAAATTACTGTTTACAAATGATGATATACAAATATGTAAAAATTGTAGATTAACGTGTTAGGTAACACTAAGAGGTTAACATTATAACGTTACAAAGTTTGTTCACCTTTTATATACAGGGTAGGCCACATAAAGTGTTACGCACTATTTTCTTCGAAATCACTGCGGATATCAATTTCAATTTTGTTTTTATATTAAATGGGACAAGGGATTTAATCTTTTAATGCTTAATAAATTTTGTTTGGAGGGCTCCTAAGGGGATAAAGGAAGCCCTCCTCATTTTTTTTAAACGGAATGGAGTACTAATTTTTCTTCAAGTTCTCATCGAACTTAATAACATTTACTTGAAACATATCTTTCATATTTTGCATAGTTAAAGAATTATGATGAAGAATGAAATTCGATTGACTGGGTACCTTTAGAGAAATTTGTTTGCAAGTAAATATTCTAAGCTAAGTATTTCAGCTCTGTTTGTAAATATGTATGCCCTTGTAACTGTTTTTTTGGCAACGGGAAATAGATTTCTTGCAATATTGTATTAACAACTTTACGCTTGTTTAGATTTTCTAGAGAGATAAATAGATAGTTTCAGTATTTTAAAATCTTCTTTATAGATTAGATGTTTTCAATGACAAACTTTAACGAAAGCGTTACAATGTTATTAGTCCAGTCTAGGTAAATATCAACGTAACAACTTGCTGAAGTATTCGCTAAGGGTTTGCATGAATACCGAGACTTATCAATGTTTGCCGAATCCTTAGAAGTAATGTAAACGCGCAGCGGCGCTGGCCCTATGTGAAATGACATACGATGCGCAAGTGAGATGCGTTAAAAACAATCTGACATCAACTGTTCAACAATTCGCGTCGAGGCGGCTGCGGCGTTTATTTGATGTCAGTAAATTGGTAACTGTCATATCGACATTCTAATTCGTATTATCACAGACAACGCTGTACCTCGTCTGTGACCAATGAATATCTTTCACTGTTGTTGATTGCATTTTACTAAGTTGGTCCAAATAATGTCATTACAAACAATAGTTGGTCTGCTGGTATATGCTTCATAGTCAAGTCAATGCAAATAATATCTTTTAATCGAAATTTTTTGAACCACTTTTACAAATGCAATATTTGTCTCAAAAACTCGATATAAATTTTCAGCTGCCTCTGTTTCAGGTTTTTCAATCTTGCAATTGTACAAAATATAATATTAAAAGAGCATTTTACTATACAATATGTTTATTGAATAAGTTACTAAAAGCAAGTATCTTTTCTGGAAATATTGCATTGTGTTTTTACAGACGGTATTTCGAGAATTAGGATGGGTATATACTTGAACTTTCTGTCATTTATCGAAATCTGAACAAATGTGCACGAAAAAACTTATAACAAAACTTTTCGATCCATCTAATATGTACTTGTTAATCTTGGCAGGTTTCTTTCATACGGGTGAACAAACAATTGATTGGGACGATAATTCTGAGCAGAGACTATTATGCTCTTAATTTTCTCAGATTTTGACATGTCCTGATCGCATAAAAAAATTATTATCTTCGAAGCTATTAATGATTTTCTTATCCTTTTACTCAGGAGAGATTGAACTTCATAAATAATTACTTTTTAATATAAAAGGCCGCTTTTACTACTGGAAAACTTAACTGTTACTGTACCTACTATTTGTCGATTGGACGTGGAAGTGGAATGGCTCAAACCTGGTGGATACGCGGTTTAATACTATTCTTTAATGATATCTGAATGTTGTATATACAAAATCTTTTCCGAATGTTTAAAATTAGGATTTGAATTAGAAATTATTTGAATATAGCAAATGTTCAAATATTTCTTTGATATTAAAATAATCTTTCCTTTGTTTTTTTTTCTATTCTTTAAACAACTGTATGACTGTATACACATCTACAATTTCTGTATATCGGTAATACGATATAATACGTTTTTCATTTATTGTATATATTATTTAAAAAGTTTTGATTAAAATAGTTCATAAATTACAGTTATACTTGCGTTCGAATTATTTGTAAGCCAACCTTTCTAAGTTTTATTTATGTACATTGTATTATACAGTAGAAATAGTATTTATGGTGTATGACATTTGTAAAGTATTATTTTTATTCATCAATAGCACATCAATAACAGCATTTTTGTTAAGTAGTAAACAAAATATTATACTTATTCTGATATTAAAAAAAAAGGTTAGGAATAAATGTTTCTCAAATAATAAGTGGTCAGCCGGGGCAGTTATACAAGCAATAACTTAACCTTACAAAATCTTCAAAGAATTATCATTTTATTAAAAAAACTTTAATATTTTCATAATTTTTATTTCATTATATTTGTAGTTTTTATTTTAAAAGCACATAAGAGGAACTACGCAAAATAATAAGAATAAGTTCAGTACAAGAATCCATCCATTTGTATAGCTAGAGTTGAACAAAACAATGGAAGAAGACGAACTTGGTTTTGAAAAGAAGCAAACACTGTTTACAAATAACGATTCTTTGAATTATCAAAAAGAAATTCAAAATGAGCATATAAATAAGTTATTTAATAAGCGTTTTTCAATTGTAAATAATGAATGTTATTTATTACCTGAACCAACATCAATATTTAAAGATTATTTATGGAAAATTGATGAATTGCAAATGCTAAAACATGAATTAAATACTATAAAAAACTGTTTAAATAATTATGATCTTGGTAAATGGCAACTACATACAAAATTAAGAAATAGTGCTAAAGATGTTATGACACGTTTAAAATATGATATTCAACCAGAACTTTTAACTCAAGCATGGTGTAAATTTTATGAAATAGTGGCATCCTTTCCTTTAATACCAGTGGATTACATTCGTAATACCAGTAAACACTTTACATCTATTCATTTATGTGAAGCACCTGGAGCATTTATTACATCTTTAAATCACTGGTTAAAAACACATAAAAATGCACACGATATTCAGTGGAATTGGATTGGTATGACTTTAAATCCATATTATGAAGGTAATTCATTATCTGTAATGATTGATGATGACAGATTCATAAGACATACATTAAATCATTGGTGCTTTGGAGAAGATAATACTGGAAATGTTATGAATTTAAAAAATTTGAATGAACTTATAACACTGTCAGAGTTGCATCAAGATATATTCTTAATCACTGCTGATGGTAGTATGGACTGCATTGATGTTCCAGCAGAACAAGAAAGTGTTTTAATACACTTGCATTTTTGTGAAACTGTATCTGCTTTACATCTTTTAGCTACTGGAGGTAGTTTTTTATTAAAAATGTTTACTATCTTTGAATGTAATTCAGTGTGTCTGATTTATCTATTGTCTTGTTGTTTCAATAATGTCAGTGTAATCAAACCAGCAACAAGTAAAGAAGGAAATTCAGAAACATATGTAGTATGCACAAACTTTAAAGGACCAAAAGTTATTTCACCTTATTTAGAGAAACTTAAAGAACATTATGAACATGGCCCTAAGCAAGCAATCTTTTGCAAACATGATATACCACATGCATTTATGAAGAAAATTATAGAGTGCAGTGAATTTTTTAAATCTCAACAATGTCTGGTCATACAGAATAATATTATTACATTTAACTCTGATAACCCTAAAATGTTACATGATATAAGACAAATTCAACGTGTGGTTGCTGATAAATATATAAAGAATTATAATGTAAAAAAATTAGAATCAGGTGAAATTGTAGGAAATGTTATCATGTTAGGAAAAACTACAAGTACCAATGAGTATAAAAAATTACAAGGATCATATAATGAACGCTGTGAGAAACAATATTTAGCACCTTTAGATCGAATAAAAAGTTTCTGTAATGATATCTGCAAAATTGAATTCCATTTGCTAGCTGATAAATTTATAAAAGTAAGCTATTTTTCATAATCTTTTTCTTAC